TATTTATAAAACAGCGTTTAAAACGACAGCGTTTAGCTCAGTTTTATTACTGATTTGCCTCGATATATAACTCAAACCTTTTCTTTTGTTCACCAAAATGGCGCGGGTTATTTCTTATATTAAGTCTCTTTTAATTTTCTTCAGAACGAAAGTGTGAAAATATACTTTATGGGAAAAGCATACACTCAGAAAATTTCCAGTTGTCATCTTTCAGTCAYCTTTCTTTGCGTCTTTCATGTGATTTGTATTTTTCCGTTCAAAACAACAGTCCCTTCTTTTCGAGCTTTTTAGTTACCTTTAAGTTATTATGAAGGCGGTTCAATGAATTTCCTKTCACGAAAATAGTCTTCTCAATTTCAGTACAAATTCCATTCCTCCTTGTTAGCCAAGTACGTCTSATTCTTTCCCTCTTGGTATTCAAGCTTCCATGAAATTCATCGCCTTCGTGAAGGGTACGTAGAGCGGAGGACTGCTTAGCTTTGCACTTCGTTTCACGGCTATTGGTATCGCAACACGAGTCCCTCGTTTCAAAAACTGAGAAATCGATCTTGCCATTCCTCGTCGTATTTCTTTGCTGCGTTGTATTTTCCGTGAAAATGAGGGCAGGCTTTRCTCGGTTTGAATGTGAGAAGAAAAACGTTTTCAAAATTGCACATTTACTCATTTCTTCAGTCTTACTACTGACGAAACTTATGCCTTATGAAGGCGGTCGTCAGAAACGTATATCCTTTTTCCGTTTGTTTTTCGATGTCTTAGCCACACCTTACACTCATTAATAAGAAGATTAATTAGAATTTCTTTAAAGCGGCAGTTAGGGACGGGCCATTAGATTTGGGGGGGGGGGGGGGGGGGGGGGGGGGGGGGGGGGGGGGAGTGGGCAATTTATTTTGTGCAGGAATTTTTTTTTACGCCTCATGGCTGTGCAAGATTTTTTTTTGGACATAATTTAACATCCAGCTTACGTAATATAATAGCCAAGATCCACTCAACTGCTTTCAAACAATTGTTGCGAAGGCGAATCTTAGCACAAAGACATGAAGAATATGTTGGAAAAGCTCATTTTTAACAGTTAGTTAATAGRAGTAGCTAACGAGAATTAATTAATTCCTCTCTCTTTAAGAACTGAAATGGTTATTTATGTCGAAATGCTTGCATTGTTATCYTTACAGTATCAGTTTTATACACTCAATTGAAGAATCGTTGTCGGGTTCAGAAACATAAAACATAGAAGCTGAGACCGAAATGGCACATGGAAGTACGTTAATTAGATGCATGCTGTGACCGGCATTATCCCGTGGCATTATCCACACTCAAATGCAGGTCTTCTGAATACGCGTTTATAAGTGATAATGCTTTGTAAATTTTAACGCGTAATTCAATCGGAAGACTACGATGTGTTGATTTTTCGAAATAAACKATTTATCTATCTAGCTATCTTGGCTAGTCTCCTAAGCAGCCGCTATTAATGTCGTCACGCAACGCTTAYTCGCGTGACGACACTAATRGCGGCTGCGTAGGAGACTATATCTTGGCACACCCTTTATAATCCAATTGGATAGACTTGCAATCACTCACTTCTCACCGACACGGTAACTATTGCCATATAAGGAAATTTGCCGAAATTATTATCAATGAATAGTAATCACAAAGCCATGCTGTCTGATTTCATAACGCTTGCCCTGATTGGTTATTGCACATCACCATATGAGGGAAATGCAATGAAACGATTTATTTGTGGTGTCTGAAAATATCTAAGGCCTGGGGCAAACGTCGAACTTTCCATGCACCTTTAAACTCATTGAAAACAATGGATATCAGGTGATAATGAGGCGGCATTTTTTGATGTAATTAAGTTCGGTGCATGGAAAGTTCGACGTTTGCCCTAGGCCTTACACTTGCTCTGATTGGCTCATGATACGATCTATTTTCGGTGTACGATATTTATATAACGCTTGCCCTGATTGGTTATTGCACGTCACCATATGAAGGAAATACAACGAAACGATTTATTTGTGGTGCCTGAAAATATCTAACGCCTGTTCTGATTGGTTCGTGATGCGATCTATTTTCGGTGTAAGACAATTATATAACGCTTGCCCTGATTGGTTTTTGACACAACACCGTAAGAATTGTAGTTTGCAGCGTTTGGAAGAATAGCAGCAAACTATTGTTTTCACGGTTCGCCAAATATGGCAATTGGTTGCTATGGAGTTGATGACGTAACTCGACAGCAAAAGGCGGGCTTTCGAGGGAAGGGATTCATTCTAGCCTGACGGTGTATGCGAAACTGAATTTTTATTCTGTTTTACTCTATGAAGTTTAATCTAGTTTAGGAGCTTACTCCCTCAAGGTCATTTTTCGCCTAACACTGCATTGGGAGGGACCAGGTTTCCTCCCAAAATAGGGGGTTTTGCCTGGCGGGCAGTAGGCGAGTCTCTATGAAAAACAATACCCTTGTACGAGGTATGAAAACGTTGTTGAAATAAACGGAACTTGCAGTGTGCCTTTAGCAGCGGGGCTATGTGCCGGAACACAGTGCCGAAGTACAGCTTCTGACTGCATGCCAGCAGTCAGCTTCCAATATACTAGAATATAGTTGTCTGAGTTGTTGATTTAATGGAGAATAGGGGAAACGTAAATACTTGTAATGAATGATAAGACCTATTTCTGCGGTATCTGAAGATATCTAAAACCTTTTCTGTTTGGTTTCGTGATACGAACTATGTTCGGTGTACGAAATTTATACACAACACTATATAAGGTAATTCAAAGACAAAACGTACGGTTTACTTCTATTGCAACTCATATAAGGTAAATATAAAGAAACGAGCGTCGACGACAAAACCTACCTTTCTTCTATTGCAACTCATATAGGATAAATGTTAAGACAAAATCATACATAATATATTTACGACAATCAATGCAACCAATACAGGCTTTGCATCATCACATGATGGCAGCAATGACACGAGGCAGGAACAATTGAATCTGGTTTAATCTGATTCACATGAAAAAAGATGTCATTTTCCCAGAAGAGAACGACTCTATTGTTGTGCCTTCTTTCATGGCTGCCATCACGTGATGGTGCAACGCTACTACTCCAATTTTCGTACCTCTGTAAGCATTCCAGAGACTGTAGTGATTGGGTCATCTGTGACAAGGCAGCAGCTTTACATAATAATATTTCAAGACAACAAGATCGGAACTTTCTGGTTTGTTGACTTGATTGGTTTGTATTTCGTATTCTCTTTTTGGAAGCTGTGGAAGTAAAGAAATGAGACTATAATAGATAGATGGATGGATGGATGGACGGACGGACGGACGGACGGATGGATGGATGGATGGATGGGATGGATGGATGGATGGATGGATGGATGGATGGATGGATGGATGGATGGATGGATGGAAAGATGGATGGATGGATGGATGAATGGGTGGAAGGAGGGATGGATGGATGGATGGAATTCGGATTATTTCATGCAAGTCAACAATAAAAGCATGTCATGGAACTTACGAATATCATCGCTATTCCAAAGGTCAATCTCGTATTCCCCGTCCTGCGCTTCCTCCATAGCATTATCACACATCGTCACGCAATCCTTTTCCCTMCCAGACTTTAGTAACGCAAATGCACAATCACGGTACAGGTGTAATACCGAAGGTAACGCGTAAGGAGAAGCAACCTAGCGAAAAAAGAAAAAAACCCGGAAACCAGAATAAGATAAGGAAATCATGGGTGATTTATTCAGACGATATGAATGCAAAAGTCCCTTTTGAGTTCATTAAACGAGGTGCATTCTGGCCTAGCTTGAGTACAATCATCCCCATATTAATCATTCCGAAGCTGAGGGAAAACTTGATCGGGTTAGCATTGGGGTGCATTGTGGGACTGTTTAGGGGACATATTTCCAACATGGCGTCTAAAAAAAGTCATAACAAAGCAAMGACCAATCAAAATCCAGGATGACGTTAGCCAATCACAACCAAAGTCTTTTCTCCTTAGCGTGGTGGGAGGGCCCTGGGGTCGACGTTAAAAAAGTCCACAAATTTGTTTGACGTGCCGTGTTACTCTCTACGCATGCGCAATCTTCGTTTTCCGAAATAATTGGAAAACTTTTGCGTCTGGGGAAATTTTTTTTCGAAAACAGAATAGAAAAATTGCGTTTTCAAAATTATCCAGATAAGTGTGGTCGTGGTCTCAGGCTATTGTTTTACCTGTGGTTGACAAGGACGACGAGCCTCTTTGAGAACCTCTAGCAAGGCATCTGCAGCTTCTTGAAACCTGATTGATAGAAAAACAGAAGATATGATCTTCCGCTGATCTTTCGTTGGAACAACCTCTGGGCTGATTTAAGTCAGGGCACGGCAAACTCACAAATCGAGCGCTGAAACAACCTCTGGTCTGATCTAAGTCAGGGTATGGCTAACTCACAGATGGAACCCTGAAACAACCTCTGGGCTGATCTATATGTAATGCGCAGTTGATCATATTAACATGTTAAATTGCGCAATACAAATAATAAACTATTATTATTATTATTATTATTATTATTATTATCTAAGTCAGGGCACGGCAAACTCACAAACCGAGCGCTGAAACAACCTCTGGGCTGATCTAAGTCAGGGCACGGCAAACTCACATATCGATCCCTGAAACAACCTCTGGGCTGATCTAAATCAGGGCATGGCTAACTCACAGATAGAACCCTGAAACAACCTCTTGGCTGATCTAAGCCAGGGCACGGCTGAGAGCCTGGACAAAAACCTTTGATTCAATGGAGAGACCTAACAAACTCTACTCACATGTGACACACTATTGCACACCACCCTTGATTCCCGCAATACGTACCTGTCCAGTGCAAGACATCGTTTCCCAAGCCAGTAKGTTGCATAACGTAGATTCACTGTTCTTCCATTTATCTTATCTACGAATGGTATAAAGTGTCCTTGGAGTAGAGACTGTGGGTTGGTGTCTTGGTTGCAACGAAGAACCAATGCCTTTAAATAAATGAGAATTAACATTAGTTCCATTGACTGGCTCTTCTTCCGTTGTATTCCATTTGATTCATAGAAGTTGATTTTTGTGGAGGGGGAAGACTGCGGAACCCGGAGTAAAACCCTCGAAGGACAGGAGAGAATCAACAATCAACTGTTCTCACGTAAGACACTGAGTCCGGGAATCAAACCGCGTGCTCACCCACGTCACGCATTCTGCACGTTTATTTAAAGGCCGGTTTAGACGGTACGATTTTCGCCTACAACTATCGTATACAACACGCTCGCGCCATCCTACAACTCGAGTCGTAGCGTGTAAATCGAGCGTACAACTCGCCTACGACAGACGAGAGCGTGTTGTATACGATAGTTGTAGGCGAAAATCGTACCGTCTAAACCGGCCTAAAGCGAGACTGAATGAATAAATTAAAGGCAGCACAAGCAAATACTTCTAAATATCCGAATGCTTTACAATGATATGAAGAATCAGGAAGAAATTATCAAAATAATACAAAAACTCGTTCTCAGCACATAATTTCGTTTTGGAGCGTCTTCTATTTGCCGTTCCGAGGTTGAGCAGAAAACTGGGTCGAGTTGGCATTGCAGTGCATTGTGGGGAGCCTGTTTTGGGGACATATTTCCAATATGGCGTCTATTTTCGTCTCATAAAACATTTCCACAATGCAGTACAATGTCAACAACTCGATCAAGTTTTTTTCTCAATCTCGGAATAACTAAGAGACGCCTGACGACTGTAGACCGGTAAAGAGATTAATGAGGTTCATCCAGGTGATTGATACCAAGTAATAGAATACTTTCTGTTTGATAGCACATGACGGGCAGTGTTTGCCTGTCATTGTAGGCTGGTAATGAGATTCATAAGATTCATTCAGCTGATTGATACCAAGCAATAGAATACTCTCTGGTTAATAGCACATGACGGGCAGTGTTTGCATGTCATTGTAGGCTGATAATGAGATTCATAAGATTCATTCAGCTGATTGATACCAAGCAATAGAATACTCTCTGGTTGATAGCACATGACGGGCAGTATTTGCCTGTCATTGTAGGCTGGTAATGAGATTCATAAGATTTATTTAGCTGATTGATACCAAGCAATAGAATACTCTCTGGTTGATAGCACATGACGGGCAGTGTTTGCCTGTCATTGTAGGCTGGTAATGAGATTCNTTCTTGGTTGCAACGAAGAACCAATGCCTTTAAATAAATGAGAATTAACATTAGTTCCATTGRCTGGCTCTTCTTCCGTTGTATTCCATTTGATTGATAGAAGTTGATTTTTGTGGAGGAAGGAAAACTGCGGAACCCGGAGAAAAACCCTCGAAGCACAGCAGAGAATCGACCATCAACTCTACTCACGTAAGACACAGTCCGGGAATCGAACCGCGGGCTCATCCACGTCACGCGTTCTGCACTTTTTCGTCTACAACTATCGTATACAACACGCTCACGCCATCCTACAACTCGAGTCGTAGCGCGTAAATCGAGCCTACAACTCGCCTACGACAGACGCGAGCGTGTTATGTATACGATAGTTGTAGGCGAAAATCGTACCGTCTAAACCGGCCTTAAGTGAGACTGAATGGATAAATTATAGGCGATACAAGCAAAGACTTCTAAATGTCCGAATGCTTTACATATGAGGAATCAGGAAGAAATTATCAAAATTATACAAAAACTCGTTCTCAGCACATAAATTCGTTTTGGAGCGTCCTCTATTTGCCGTTCCGAGGTTGAGCAGAAAAATGTTTCGAGTTGGCATTGCAGTGCATTGTGGGCTGTTTTGGGGACATATTTCCAGTATGGCGTCTACTTTCGTCTCATAAAACATTTTCACAATACAGTACAATGTCAACAACTCGATAAATTTTTTTTCTCAACCTCGGTATAATTAAGAGACGCCTGACGACTGTAGACCGGTAAAGAGATTAATGAGATTAATTCAGCTGATTGATAGCAAGCAATATAATACTCTCTGGTTGATAGCACATGACAGGCAGTGTTTGCCTGTCATTGTAGGATGGTAATGAGATCCATGAGATTCATTCAGCTGATTGATACCAAGCAATAGGATACTCTCTGGTTGATAGCACATGACGGGCAGTGTTTGCCTGTCATTGTAGGCTGGTAATGAGATTCATGAGATTCATTCAGCTGATTGATACCAAGCAATAGAATACTCTCTGGTTGATAG